AGCACCACACGCACATCCCTTCTGCAGAGGAAAGAACTGCTGACAGCACGATAAGAAACTCTGCAGAACTTCACCTGGGAGCTTTAATCAGAGAAGAATTTCACAGAGTAACCTGAAGCCCAGAAACACTATAATCCATCTATTTACTACTAGCAGTAATATTCCTTTTCACAGTAGAATGCAGAAGAAAGTGTGTTCTGCTTTCCATTCATTCCTCAGCAGTGCTGCATTTGATAATGCCATTTGCTGTGCAAGAAAGTGTTTTTGGCACACAGCTTCATATACCAAAGCTTTTGAGGCCACTGACTCCATGTACCATTAGTGTTGCTTATAGAAAACATTTGTTAGCTTCTTCGTATTAACAGAAAAGTTTGTAAATACGTTCTCCACTTAGTTTTTCATAAGAATTCTTTCCAAATGTACCACAGCAGCAAGTTGTGCTTCCGAAGCTGCCACCTCCTCCTTTGAAAACATCCTGGCACAGATACTTTCCAAAAAGCAGACCTTCCCAAATCTCAGCTCCACACCCCCAGAAGTTGGTACTGAGGGTGGCAGAAAGTATTTCATAATCAGAATTCATACAGGTGGCCTAACATACTACAGCTGACAGTTGTGGTTAAAATGTGTAAGTCTGTAAATAGCCTACATAATTTTCAGATGAAAGATCAACTCCATACACCCAGGCCCATTTAACAGCTGTGAAAACCACATTATGGCAACAAACGCCACAACCAACTCTAAATCCTGAACAAATTAGCAGGGATTCAGCTAAGTTCCCCACAAGCCCTGTAACAGTTGAGCTTTACAGAGCCCAAGTACAAAGGCTGCACCCTCATCATAAGAATCTGCTGAAAAGATGAGCACATCTGGAAATCCTGAGCTGTGCCACAACCCATAACTTTACCTGCTTGGTACCAACCAAGACAACAAGACAAACCACATGAATAAAGGATACAGAAAAGCAGGTGCAAAAGCACAGATTAGTCTTTCACTGTATGTTCTCTGACAGACTCAAAGCATCCATCAGCAAAGGACAAGGAGAAAAAGCATCCAATAGCTTCTCTTCCAAAATAGTTACTTTGGAAAGGGAAGCATCCACAAAATGTTTCATATTCCTAATACATCCCTTAAGTTTTCCCAAAATTAATAGAAAAGCCACATCTGTAGCATGCCCTGAAAACAGAGAAGAGGAATACGGCCATGGCAAAACCCTGCTGGCAGTTACAGCAGTGACTAATATTTCTAATAGCAATGATATTGTAGATCTTTAACGTGGCTAGGAAAAGAGCAACTCAAATGACAGAAAAGTAGATTTGCATGGCACAGATCTTTTAGTTGCATGTTACTTCACAGAGATGGTGAACGCACTGAGACCAGTGGTGGGATGCCAAAAACTGCAATTTTTTCTACAAAATGATTTTATTGTAAATAGAGATGGTAGGTCAGCTGCAACAGAAAAGTTTTGAGAGAATGAAAGCATTTACATATCCATTTTGATGGAAAGCTGATGTAATCTTTGCAGTAACAACAGATGCCATTCCCCTCCATTGTGACAGCAGAGCACAGATCATCCTAGACAGGTTTGCATGACTGGAACTTCAGCTTTGAGCTGGATTGAGAGTGTGCCAATATTCCTTCTCCTTAAGATGCCACAGCTCCAAGTCATTTATCATTCCTGCAGTTTATCACTCAAAACCCAGATACTGTTTTTGGCAACAGTGCTGTAATTGCTGTTGTTTTAATCCATATTCTAACCCACCCAATTAACTTTAAGGTACATTCCCAAATTAGGAATGAGCAAAAATGCACCTGTTCACGATTTCAGCTTTATGTACTGATATATTCATCACGGTTTAAGGTTTGACCAGAAACCAATGTTGCTGCTGAATGCACTGAACTCAAGCCCTCTATCTCCTGGAACACGTGTTTCACTTCGTGCTGAGTAAAGTCATAAGCAACACATACAAAGCTAATGAAAGAGTTCACATTTCTGTGCAAATTCCTAAAATAATTACAATTCTCAGCTCTGCCCTCAGTTTTTGTCATGATGAGCTCAGGACCTGCTCATCAAAATTATTTGTCATCCTTATTCATCATCTGGTAGTGGGTTCCAAAGTTCCGGCTGAGCAAAGCACTCTTTCAAAGCTCCAGCAGCCCATCCCTTAAGTGCCACTGCTCTCCTGGGACTCAGCAAGAGAAAGATTTCCACTTCACATGGCTGCCTTGACTCAGAGCTGGTCTGAACAGAAACAAAGAGGCCTGTGAGTTACATCAAACCATCCTGGTAGAGACCCTGATGATAACAACATACTACTACTAAATCTCTGCTAAAAGGCAGGATGGGGAAAGGCACTGATTTTTGCAATCCACTCTGCACAGTGTTGTTAGCATTGTTTGGTAACAGATGCACAGGTTGCTATTCTATTTATTCCTCGGTTTTGAGGTTTTATTTTAAACCATGGATGTTGAACAGCTACACAGCACAAAACCTGCTGTTACAGACCAAGAATAAATCAGATATTTATTTAACTACAAACATTTCAGTTACACTGGTTCTATAAGATAACACTCGAAACAGAAAGTCTACAGATGCCAGAGTGAGAAGATCAAAGTCTTCCTCATGTTACAAGACTGCCTGTGTGCAAAAGCAGCAACCATTTGCTGGATACATGAAAAAAGCAATGTTTACTGTAATGAAAAACAAGGGAATGTGTCTATTGCTTTAATCCTAAGTAATTTAGGAATATTAAAAACAGTACAGAACATATCACAGAGCTGCTGTGCCTGTAACATGAGATCATGAAGAAAGGCCATAAGCCATTAGTTAAATCATTATTTTTCAGGAGCTGCTGTTTGTATATGATTTGAAGCATATTTTTTTTTTCCTCCAAATTGGTCATTCGCATGGAAATTAATACATCAAACATAGAAAATGCAGTATTCCTCTTCTGACAACATGGCAGGAGACATTAGATAAAAAGAGTTTGGGAGCTGGCTGATAGGAAGATACACTTCAGCCTGAGCAGCATCGTACAGTAGAAGCCAGCAATTGGCAGGGGGGATGGAAATTCATGCAACAGAGGTGCCTCCATACTGCCCAGTGATGACACTGAACAAGACGAAGAACTTACCAATTTGGTGGACATATCTTCCAGTGTACCCTTGGCACAGTGTCTGTTTGAAAGCCCCAAGCATGTTCTGGAAGTCAGAAAGGAGTTCTTCCAAGCCCTGCATCTAGCAGAATTAAGAAGTCATCTGCCTGAACACAACAGGCTACAGATGCCAAGGCCACATTCATCAAGTTTACCAGCAGACACATACTTGCAACAGACACTTGTGCAGCTCATCAATTCCACATGGAAGTGACACTTCTGGATTTACTTTTGTCCCTTACCATCTCATACATGTGGCTTACACAGCTTTCTTCTGACCCATCTCAAGTTGGCAAGAGAATTCAATCTCACTGTAGATCTTTCTTTTTATTTCTGCTGCAGGAACCACACTCTGCTGATGTGTCTGCAGCTGACAAACTTATGCCTGTCATGAGACAGCTTCACATCAGACAACCAATATACAGATAAATGGGAAATTATTAACTGTGGAAGGTGTCACAGCATTGGAATTCAGGTCATACACAGTGAAATGTAACCTGCTGAACAGTTTTGGTCCCATTGGCTTTGGGCAATGGAAATTAACCTGCACAGCACTGTAAATGGCCCTAGCCAACAGCAGACCCCTCTGACTGATAGGAGAAGCTGAAAGCTGACAGTAGTTTGTAACCAAAAAAGCTTGGGGACTACTGACAGGCAACTGAGAGCTCTGTATGTGTGCACAGGGTGCGCTAGATGACTACAGCCAGATTAAAGCATAGCTGCAAGTCCTAGCCTAGATAAAACTTGAAGATTAAAGCTCATGTTGTAGGTGTATAAAATGTTACCACTGCTTTCATTACAAGTCAACCTAAAAATGTTTCCATTAGACATCGCTGTGATTACAAACATGCAAACTGATACTTTAATCCTCAAGAAAAGGTGTTAGTGTAGTGGGAGAAGAGGCACAACTGCTCCAAGATTGTCTCATTGTGTGGCACGCACCTGCCAGAAATCTTGGCAACATTAACACAGTGTTAATGTAATCCCTCAAATATTTAGTGCTGAAGCTCTGGTTATTTAAACATACAAAGATGTTTCCGTCTCTCAAGGATCAGCGGTGATATGTGATTAGGTGTTTGTATAAAGCTGCAGAAATCTGGCTGAATGAAAATAACCTGAAGGAAAGAAGAATGAGAAACCAGAGACAGCACCTGTGTTTACTGAGGCTAAGTATGTCATACCAACCTGATAGTGTATTTTTCAGAAAAAGGGGAACACCACGTATGATGTGAACTACATTAAAATGCTTGAATCATGTGACAAGCAGAGTTAAGAGTGAAAACAAGGAGATGAACAGACAAACTGCAAGTTAGCTAAGGAGCCAGTTAAAAAAAGAATTAATCCATATACTTGGAGTAGCAGGTTAAAGGATTTAACTGCAAAGTGTCACAAGGACTTGTCTTTAGCAATAATCTGAGTGTTTCTGAAGAGACACTCAAAAGAACACTGATGAAAAGCCTACGATGTATCAGCACAAAGCATGAAAACGTATGACTGATAACTTGAGCCCTAGAAATAAAACAAAGTTCAGTGCAAATCCAGCAGTATGGAATTAAAACTTCATCATTATACACATGGAACCTAGAAACAGATGAGGTATAATCTGGAAACTAATTAGTTAACAGTGACTTTGGAGAAAGTTCTCCATGGTATTTAACTAAATTGAACAACTAACTGAAAGGCCCCCAAATAACCAGACTGTTAATATCTTTTGTCAGGTGTTTGTCGGGATTATTTTAACTCCCAAAAGGTTCTCAGGAGGTTTTTCGGTGTCTTTCCTCTCTGCTCATCTGCTCCCTACCTTTGTCTGTAAGGAAAACTGGGTGCAGTTCTTCACAGAGCACTTACCTCAACCAGACAACGTTTCAGACAGGAACGTGCACTAGGCAGAGCCAACAGGACATCCATTAAGTGCACTGATCAGCAAGACAGTTCTTAACCTCAGGATCTAATTAAAAGGGATTACGATAGTCAGGGCAGTACTGCAGTGCAGGCCACGCACGACGTGTCGATCTGCTGACATTAAGTTCTTTTTTATGCAAGACTTAAAAGAGGCTCCTTAAAACATTTACAGATACATAAGGAAGATAGATGGGGCTTTCTTAAGCCACACTGTACCTTACAACATCACTGAAGCTTGCAGATCCCTGACGTGCAGCTGAACTCCGACAGATGTACAGGGTGAGAACATACAGTAACTGCAGCACAGCTGAGCACGAAGGGCGAAGAGCTTCAGGAATACAACCAGTGCAACGTGCTGATGGGCTGCTCCTAACATGCAAGAAACACCACCCGTTTTCACAGCCTGTATCTTTCCCTCTAGTCTTGTTTTCCCGAGCACCAACAGTTCTCCAAGTTTTGGTGCGATCAAGTCAGTTCTTTCAGAGAACAGAATGTTACCATTCAGTACTTCAAAGGACCCCTATTTAACTTGTTGCCTTTTTGAAGCTGCAGTGCAAAGTATAAACTTTATGTGCCCAATATAGCTTTCACATGGTTGGATAAGCAAACTAGACAAATGCCACTTTCCCTGGCCTCCAGCACTTTGAACTTTTGGTTGTCGGAATCTCACATTAGTGTTCCATATAACACATAAAAGTGAATTTTCAGACAGTGGTTAAAACCAAGGCTCATTTAACAATACGAGCAGTAACTGCTAAAAGGTCTTACAACATATGGAATTATATCTTCATAATAAAAATAAACATGCAAATTTCATTAGACAGAATGTACTGTGATGTTTCACAATAGATTCATTGTCCTGCAACCATTTTTTTTAACCAGTTCTCTGTAAAAGCACACAGCCAAGCTGTTAGATGGCAAGTTTAGCAGTGGCTCATCCTGAAAGCATGTGCCACAGATGATCGTACTGTCAGCACATGAGCAGATCTGTTTTTGTTGCTGTTGCTTTTATTTTAGTAAACAAACAAGCCAAAACCAAACAAGTGGACCAGTAGTGCCCTCACATAGGCACACCCCATGGAACATAACATGACAGACTGGACTGCAGTTACACCCATGAGGCACACATTCAGCATCGACCACTCTTCATAACACACATAATTTTAACATGGTATCTACACCTCCTTCACAGTTTCCCTCTGTGCTAGTTCAGAGGAAGTTCCCCAGTTTCTCAGTGTAGACAATCCATTGTGTGACCTCCTCCCAGTGTGCACAATAAAGAGCAGAGCTTCTGTTTCACAGCCTCAAAGGGCAGTACAACCCAACACCAAAACCCCCAGCCACCTGCGCACCCAGTGAGACCGGTGTGGAAGCCCAGGGCCAGACAGCACAGCAGGCAGGCAGCTCTCAGCAGGACCCAGACCCTGAGAAAGCCCACCAAGGGGAAACACCAGTGCTTTTCCAACACCGACCAGGCATCGGGGCAGCTCAGGAAGGGGAATCACTGCCCAAGACCAGCACACAGTTTGGTTCCCCACAAGCACCACTGAATGGCAGTCAGGACACTGAATGCTGCCTGCCCCGCACACCAGGACCCACTCCTACACACCTTTGCTGCAAACTTCTCAGGCCCTTTTGAGCACACTGGGCAGGAAGTCCTGGTTTGAACAATTCTTTCAACCTGCAGGACTAATATGTGCAAACATACTAAAAAACACAAGTTAAACATAACATTTTATTTTTTTAAGAGCTGCAAACTGCCAAAAAATATCCATAAAGCACTTTTATTTGTCACAAGGCAGCAACATTCTAGTTTAATACCAGAAAGCTATTTTTTTTTCTTGTTCTGCCATGGCTACCTATAGCACTTCAGTCTGCTTTCAGAAGCTCTGCAAGAATTATCAACAAAGTTCTGAAAAATACACATCAAAGGCTGCTTAGCCCAGCCTCCCTCCCAAATCACTAACAAAAGCAAAAATCTCCAAGCCCTTTCTGGGGGAACCACATGAAAGAAACAGGAAGAAATATGGCCTGTTTGGCATGTCTGCGTGCCAAAATATCCTAATACAGATGAAGGTTTTCTTGGTAGCACTGCTGCATTAGATCCATGAAAGAGTCAAAAGGGAAAATACAGATCTGTGCTTCCTCACGCACGTGTGTGCCTATTTACCAAACCCAGCCAAGTCTGCCTGCATGTGTTCAAAGAGAGACGAGGGCACACGAGGCATGCTTCCAGACAGAAGGGAGTCAACTGCAGAGATCACTGACCGATGGCTCAATGAAAGCCACACGTGGAAAATAAATCACTTCTTTGTTTTCCCCAAGAGGAAACCAGCCTAACTGGGCACGTTGTGCCCCCAGAGCTGCCACAGCAACACAGTTCTGGCAGCAGAAGAGTTCCTTCTCCCCACCCCCTGCTGCCATCCCAAGCAGTGTCTCCTGCTTTGCTGTATGCAAGGCTTTAATTTTCGTCACTTGGAAGTGACAAACCTCCTTTTACAGAAACAAAAGACTGTAACTGTATATCACAATCATAAGGTTTGTGACAGCCAAATTTGGCTAAATGCTAGTTTTTACCAGATCTGCACAAAGCTTACCTGTCAACCGAGCTGTTGTTTCGAGTATTCAGTTTTATTACAATAAATGACAGCTTTCCTTCTCTAGCTTTTATTTCAGATTAGCAAGAAAGCGTTGCACCTTAATGAAATACACAGTAACTACAACAGATGAATTTATCTGAAGCACAATGCAAGCCTCCAACCCCCCCCCAAGCATTCTAGCTCTGTGAATGGCAGCAGTGCGAAGAGCTTGCGCTGACAAGCAGCAGCATGGAAAGCCTGCGTAAGGAGCAAAGGGGAGACACTGAGGTGAAGTCACACATCACATCCAACCTCACCACACCACACACCATCTCAAGGTGTTATGGATGCAGACAGCACGGAGCACAGCCAGCCTGTCAGGTGCCCAGACACAGAAGCAAACAGCCACCTTTCCACCAAAGTGCCTATAAAGAATCCTGAGCAAGTTTAAGCAAGGCAGGAATGTGATTGTGTCATCGGCCTTTTAGCACCATGCATACCCTTTATTTTCCTAATGACTCAATTATGCAGGTAAAATTAAATGCCTGAAAGGAGTTCTTCCTGGCCCCAAAAACTGAAAATCCTTGTGTTTATCCACAAGTCAGCTAATGCAGGAAGGGCAACACCACAAGCTTTCTCACTTTCTTACCTTGTATGGCCAAACCTGGACTGGGAGGACCAGACGCATGGCTCAGGCTGGGAATAAGGACAATCTGGTGGTTTGTTTTAACTCTGTAGCATTCTAGTAGCATTTCACAAACTTCTTGGGGTCATTCTTATCATGGGTATTTATGCACTACAGAAAAAGAAAACTGCAGGAACTGTTAGACCTGGAGAGCTGCAGCAATCCGTAACCACCAGCTCCTAACATGGGATTAAACACACCTGAGCCCATCAAACATCTCCAGGGCTCCTGGGTCTCTGTTGCATTTTTTACTATAAAAACACTACATACAGTAGAATGTTATCACAGATGAGCTAGAAGGTGTCCCTCTAATAGAAAGAATGTCTTACTGCTCTAGAAGAAAAGGCCTTTATTCAATCTTCTTGGGTAAAGCAGGCAAATCTTGTGGTCAAATCACCTCTAAAGAACATAGCAGACTTCAAAAAAAAAACAAAACAAAGGAGGCATTGCAGAACAGTCTGCAGACAGAGGTACAAAAGACTGGGACAATCCAGCTTGGAAAGAAAAAGAAAACAAAACCCAAAGAAAACAGAACACACATCTATACAATTGCAAATGAAAAAACTACCGGGGGGAAAAAAAAGATTCTTTATTCTTTCTCCTGCTACAAAAACTAGGAGGTGCTCAATGAAATTACCATGCACTGGGGCTATAAAAAAAAAACCAACAGGAAATATTTTTGCCCAAGTTGTGGAATTCATTGCATAGCATAAGGTAGAAGGCTAAAGGTATAAACTGCTCCAAAGGCTTAGGCAAATCCACAGCTGACGAATGCACCAGGCATCATTACCCACACAGCCTGCACAGCTCCTCTGGCTCAGGCCATCCCTGGCTGCTGGCAGACACCCGAGGAGCCATCAGTCCCTCATCTGCCTGCTCTGCTTCTTTCCCCTTATGATTTACTTCTGGCCACTGTCACAGACCACATGCCAAGCTCCACACACACTCCGCAGCCCTTATTATCCCATCATTCACATGTTCTGATAATTATTTCACATGAACGGGTTTATTTCCCAGCTCTACACTGTAATATATTAAAAACATACTATCTGCAAATTATGTGTAGTTTAAAGGCACTTCCTTAAGTTGATTAAATAGGAGAGAATTAAATGAAATTCCCAGCCTTTACAGTTCACCCCTTCCATCCGTACATCCAAATGCCATTTTACCAGGCTGCAGTTCATTCCCTACCACCACCATTTCATTTGTGCACCTTCCACAGACATTTGTTTTCATCCTGTGAAACCATTAGAAGAATCAATTTGAACTCCAAAGCAAGCTGAGAGTAATGGACTACTGTGTTTACGTAGCAGTAAGTACACAACTATTTAATTGGATCTATTTGCTAAAAACTGCATCTTCCAAAGCAACAGCAGCATCCACAAGGAGCTGCCATACATTTCTTATGTAAACCAAAATTTCCAGTATTTTTTTTTCCTGCTTAAAACTGCCAAAATAACAATCATTGACTACCGAAATAGTGCCACAGAAGGCACGTCTCCCATCTAGTTTTACTCCTGAAATCGAACACTTACTCAAAGGGAAGTAATTAAGTTGCTGCCCCTTTTCAGCAAGACAATTCCAAGACTGATGTCATAATTCAAGCGACAGGCTGTGAACAGCTCTGCAACCATAGCATTTAATTTAGAAGTCAGCACTTGACACATTGAAGTATTTGGAATTCCTGAAGTCTGGCTGTCTGCACAGTTGCATAATTTGAACAGGAATAACCTACTTACAACCAGACAAGATAGAAGTATGTCAACAGACAATCCCTTCTACGTCAAGGGACATCTCCTTCCTCGTCACATACCAGCAGCAAGAGCATCACTCACTGATCTGTCACGGTTTGGTTTTCTTCTCCTTTAAGTTAGTCAACTACAGTGCTTTCATGAGCTGTTACATTTATCATCACATCTTCCCACAGAAATATACACAAATGTTCTCAAAGATCATCAAGAAATAAGTTTACATGTGCAACAGACTCCAAAAGTGAAATGCTAGATGTGCAGAAACCAACACCAGTGCAAAGGACCCAAGGCCTCCTCTCTGCCAGGGCCACGTGAGATCACACAAGCACCATCCATCTTACAGCAGGCATCACACAACCGTTTAGGAGAAGGACACAAACATAAAAAGCCTCCAGAAATAACGTCTGGACACTTGTTCAGCTTCACACACACAAGGGAAGCTGTATTTTCTTTCGCCCCTCCTAGCAAACAGCCGACCAGACGCTCAGCACAGCAGACATTTGCTACAGACACCACAGAAAGAAATCACCCTTTTAAAAGTTGCCAGTTTATGATTAACCTCCTGTTGCAAAAAAACATGGCAAGGGTTCAATTTCACTTGCTAACTACTTCTCTTACGTGCTACAGAAGAAATACATGAAGACACTCCTCCCCCTAAACTTGACACTCACAAAAAGAGGAATTCTCTCACCCTGTTAAAAAAACAAGAACAAAAAAAACCCAACAGCGCAAAACCTCCTGCGTGGGAAAGCAAAAGTGATCCCTCCTCCTCACAGGTGAGCATCCAGACAACCAGCATCCACCTGGGGAGAAAAAAAGCAAGGGCTGGAAATTCCCTTCTCCTGGAAAGGGATTGCTTTGAGTGTTCACACCAATTAGTGTTTCAGATTAAAACCAGCTGTTTAAACAGAAGAAGTCCCCAGGGAGACACACTTACAGTATTATAACTAGTTTTTGGTATAAACAGCTTTACATCAATGGAAGTATTTATATTGGTAGAGCTATATGCAAGCTAGCAGGTTAACACTTGTTCAGCTCTATCTTAAATAGATTCACTCAGAGCCAGGCAACCTCTCCAGGCGCATCACATCTTGGATCTGCATTACACATGGATATCAAGATGCAACAGGAGAGCTCAATGGCAGAAGAGCAGCACATGTGAAATGCCCCACGAGACTCCTGGACACCAGCCTGTGCCAGACAGCCATTCCCACCCAGTATCACCTTGCAGGGTTCACAGAGCAGTCCCATGTCACTCCGTGTACAACAGCTTGCTGCTAGAAACCAGAGGTCAGCTCAGCAGGTGGGCTGGGTGACCTCCACCTAAAGAGAAGCCAGGAGAAAAGAACGGAGAGAACACAGGGGGCAAACATGTCAGTGGGAAAGCTGAGAAATTTCCCTCATGATAATAGGGCAAACCTAGGACTTCATGTGAGGAAAAGAGTGAATGCTAGAGACTTCTGGAAACACATGAGAAAGGCTGGATGGGAACAAGAGGCAGACAAAAATCAGGAGACTTCCAAATTGCATGTACGACTAGAGAAAAGAAATGCAGTGCATTTTAGACCAGTGATGTCCAACGTGAGATCTGCAGATGCCTAGGGAACACACACAGTACTCCCATGTAGAAAAGCAACCCAAAGGCAGCCCCAAATTGCAGGGCACAGCTGGGTGACCCCTCTGGCACACACAGCAAGGAGTACCACACATGGGAGCAGGCACCCAGCAGGTGCCATGAGGTGTCTATAGGAACAGATGAGACACTAAAGGACAAACAACAGAAGCCTCCTCCTTGGGAACGTGCAGAAGAAACGCCTGCATCCCAAAGGCTGGGGGCAAAACATCAAGGTGTGTAAATACATGTTGGGCGTGCCAGCTCTTAGTTAATGGGATAGCCAGCTCTTGTAGACAGTCAATGGGATAACCATTACAGAAGGCACAGCAGGTTGCCCCTCAGCATTGGGTAACCCCACAGTGCAGGGAGATGGAGGAACTGCCAGCAGGTCTGCAGGAAGATGTGCTCCTCTATTGGGGTGGAAGAACTCACAGAATGGCCTGGATTGGAAGGGACCTCAAGAATGATGAATCTCCAACCTCCCCGCCACATGCAGGGCCACCAACCTCCACATTTCACAGCAGCCCAGGCTGCCCAGGGCCCCATCCAACGTGGCCTTGAACACCTCCAGGGATGGACGGAGCATCCACAGCCTCTCCAGGCAGCTGTTCCAGCACCTCACCGCTCTCAATAACTCAGAGGTTTTTGGGGACAGGACAAAGCCCCCCGGGACGGCTGTGCTCCATGGGCAGCACCGGCCCGGCACACCCGTGCACGGAAAGCATCACGGGGGAGCTCCAGAAAGCAGCAAGACCCCTACCCGGAGCGTTCCTACACGAGAAACGCCAGCCTCCGAGCAGCCAAAAGCACCACCTCCCCCCTCCGCATCCCCATGTGCCAATGTTTACGTCGATACGTGCGGCGGATCGGGACCCGCATCACGCACAGCTGAGCCCCGCACCCCCCGCGGGTCGCGGCCCCCGGCAGATGGGCGGCGGCGGGAGGAAAGGGGGGGCAGGGGGGGAACAACAAAAGGCCGCGGGCTGCCGGCACCGCGCGCAGGGACGGGCCGAGGGCCTCGACGGCGGAACAGAAGGGGTCGGGACAGCGCCGCCCCCCCGCACACACACGCAGATACACACGCACATACACACACACGCACACGCGCGCTCTCCCCTCAGGGCCGCCCCGCTCCCGGCCGTTCCGCCCTTACCTGCGGTCGCTGGGCCCGGCGGGCTCTGGAGGCCGAGCCCCCTATCTCGGCGCTGGCCGGGCCATGGCGGAGGGAGGCGGAGGAGGAGCAGAGGCCGCCGCCGCCGCTGCCGCCGCCGCCACCACCGCCGCCGCCTCCCCCTCAGGCGCGGTGCTGGCGGGGCGCCGAGGCGGGGTGGGGGGGGGAGGGGGGAGCAGCCCCGCGTGCGCGGCCGTTGGCGGCGGGGCGGCGCGCTGCGGCTCGGCGGGAAGGGGAAGGGGAGGGGCGGGGGCCGCGGGAGGGATCCGACGGTCCGAGCTCCCGCGCGCCGCGCCGCCCGGCCGGGCACTTTGTTTGTGTCCCACAGTGCAGCGCGGCGCGGGGGGGCGGGGCCGGAGGGAGGGGCGGGGCCAATGGGATTGCGCGTGCGCGGTGAGCGCGGTTGCGGGGGGTCGCGAGCGTGCGGGGAGCGCGGCGGCGTCCGGCTGTGTGCGCGGGAGGGACGCGGTTGTGCGGCGGCGGGCACGTGGGACGCCGCGGTGTTGCGTGCGTGCACGGATTGGGAGCGCGAACCCTCAGGCGCGGGGTGCAGCGAGCAGGCAGGCGGTGCATGCGTGCATTCGTCGGGAGCGTGCATTCATCGAGAGCGTGCGCGCAGAGCACCTCGGTGCATGCACGAGGGGACCGAGAATGCGTGCACCAGCCGCCCCAGTGCATGCATGCGTGTATGCGTGAAGCAGGACTGTGCGTACACACGTCTCCTCGCACTGTGCACGCTGCACGCCCCAGTGTGTGCATGTCCAGGGTTGTGCACTCTGCACACGAGTGCGTGCAAACCATGCACAGTGCACGCCATGGTGCGTGCGTCCCCCAGGTCCTCATCCCAGTGGGTGTGCTGCACAAAATCTATTTGAAAAACGCCTCCTGAAAAGTGGCACAGTGCTCCCAGCCTCCTCAATAGAACCCCTGGGGCCGTTTTCGACTGTTTCTTGCAAAACCAGAGGAAGAACGGAACCCCAGCGGGCTGCAAGATTGTGCTTGCTGCTGCTTAAATTTCTCCTTCTGCTTCCCCTGGCTTTGCATTTGCACGGAGCTGCACGATAAGCCTGCTGCATTGCTCTATGTGGATTGCTTTGGTGAAAAACTGGAGTGAAATAGCATCAACTGAAGCAAATTGTGTGTGTGTGTGAGCGCGTGTGCAAAGGTTGCTCTCGCTTTTTTCAGCCGACAAATAAGAGGTAATTTGCAAGGCGAGGAAGAATGCTCACCCTCCAAATTCTGCTCCAAAAAGCGCACAGCCGGGGGTGTATCATGTTTGCAAATGGAGCGATGGAAAACGTTACAGCCTTAAAGCACTCTGCAAGAGCAGCTCCTGCAGAGCTCAGCCATCCGGCACGGCTTCCTCTGGGGCAGTGCTGCTCTTCCTGCTGCTGAAGCCTTTAGGATTGGGAACATCTGACTTTGGGAGCATGCAAGTCCAGCTCGGAGCGCACGCACAGGAACTGTCCCACCAGGAAGCCACCAGCATGCTGATTGCTACCGCTGCAAAAAAAAAAAAAAAAAAAAAAAAAGTGCTGCTGGTGCAGCTTTGCTCGCTGCTTCCGCCTGTTTTGCAGCAGGAGGTCCCAGAGCACAGTGCTGGGGGCCCTGGGCAGGATGCAGCAGTGCCCATCGGTGTGACACATCCCAGGGTGCTGCACTGCTCCCACACTTTAGCACGTTAAAAAGAAATTCACGCTTTGTTTAGGGGCTGGGAAGGGAACTGAAAAACAGCTTGAGAGAAACATTAATAAAAGCCGAGAGGCGATAGGCAGGAAACCCTTTATTGAAGAGGTAAAGGCAGAGTCACAACCAGAGTTGCCCTCAAACTCAAACACAAAGATAAAATCAGAAAATGATACTTTTTTCCCCTTGCAATGGAAGTCCCAAGCTTGGTTCTGCTGGATCCATTCTGCAGCTGATGGGATCTGTGCATCCCAAGGGTGACAGCGGGCGCTGCCGGGCCACGCGAGGAGCGATGCTTTGGAGGAGGGATGTGGGAGCAGCATGGTCAAACACAGACAGTCTGTTTTTGTTTTTTTTTTCTTAGGGTACAGACAGCTACTGTACAAAACAAACCAGAAATCTGTAATAAATACACAAGAGGCTCAGTACATTGCTACAATCCTTCACTGAAGGGAAACACATATATACACATATATATCCTAATATATAACCTCTTTGATAAATCAGCATAAAGGCTACGTGTTGCTATGGGAAGGCAGGAGCAGACCCCATGTCCCCGAGCAGGACCCACCAGCCCCCAGGAAAGCCCCAGAAGGCCCAAACTGAGCAATATTTCTGCAAGGAGCCACCAGCTTGCCTTGGCCATGGGTGGGCGCCTGCAGCTGCGCTGCAGCATTCCTCCTTTGGCATCCCAGGGGCAAAACAAAGGGCACAGCGTGGGGTCTGATGCAGCAGGGAGCTTTTTGCATAGGGGAAGCACTGCAGAGCAAATGTGAAAAGCTGGAAAGACCTTTATGGGATGCAGAGCTCCTATGCAGGGCTGATACTTGCAGACATTTTCCTTGGCACTGTCTCAGGCTGAAATATCTGCCCCATCCTAAATGGATGCTGCTTACACCGCTGGAGAGGAAACACATGCTTGCCTTTGAGTTAAAACCCTCTCAGCTGCGAAGCGGAAAAGAAAACAACCCAGCGAGGCTACATGACTTTAGCATCCAGCTATTTGTTAGTGCAAGAGGCCTTAAATTCCTGGAGATTAATTAGCAGACAGAGAACATTGCCCGAAGGTAGGTCTGAACTGCAGCCCAAGCAGCTCTGGATCCAGACTGCGCAGCTGGCTTTTGTTTTTGGCTTTTCTCAAAAAGAGCCCAGCCAAAACGTTCAGCCCCTGCTCTCCTTGGTTCTGCAGCCCTTGGTGTCACTCACAGAGGGGTCCATGTCCCTCCTAGGGGACAGATTTCACATCACAGCTTTGGCAAGGGCTCTTCTTCCAACCCCATTTCGAACCTGCACGATGGGCACTGTGGTGGGGAAGAGTCCACATGAATTTTGAAGTGATCTCCCTTGCTCCAAGCACACAGTCTGCATCCCCTCTCCTAAATCTGTATCCCATTCCAAAATTCTGCATCTCATCCAAAAATCTGCATCCTTCTCCAGAATCTCCATCCCTCTCCAAAATGTGCATCCTTTCCAAAATCTGCATCCCTCTCATCCCTGCAGCTGCCCAGATTCACATCTCGTGCAGTGAATGACAGCAGAGCCTCCTTGCAGACAAGGCAAGCTCTCTGCTTGAAAAGCCTTCATCCTGCTGTATAACAATGGGGACAAAAGCAATTCCCCCCAAGGCACGGTTTGCAATATGGACCTGCTGTTTGGTCACCTCCATGCTGGCAAAACAATTGCATCATGCACAGCCCTTCTTGCAAAAGCTCCCTCCCATGTGCAGGGTAGGATCAAGCAGCTCCTGCACCAAGAGCAGCTCCATGAGGCAGCTTCATTTTGCAAATGGGGAAAGTCAAATGTAGCAAAAATCCCCAAATATCCACCCACCGTGCGATGTCAATGACAAAACATTTGCAAATTCCAGCCCTGCTCCCAAGGCTCTGGCTGCTGCCAGCACACATCCAGCGAGAGGCAATTGCTTCAAAAGGGGAGAGGTCAGTGAGTGAGCAGCATCTGCAGCACGGCCAGAGCGTCTGGGCTGGGAGAGGAGTTGCAGCCCTGTGGGACTCCCTGTTGGAGTTTCCAGCCCCAGATGGAGCCAAATGCTGGGGCTGAGCATCCTCGTGTGCCCTGGGCTCGAGGGATTGGGGCTGAGCAGTGGCACCGGTTGGGTCTCATCTCCAGAATGAAAAGCACAGCTGGTAAAGTGAGCGCGTGGCAGGCAGAGCCAAGAGGATGGGAGAGGGGATGTGGGTGCAGCCAAATGTCTGCTCTGCAGGGGAACAGGGACAGCAACA